TTTCATTTTCTTATCGTTGCCCAACATTATACCGGTGTTACAGTGAACGGTATGATATGGCCCAGCACCAGTCCCTTGTATGTTAAACTACAGAGCAAACCACCTGTTTGATAGTGTGATGTCATAGTTTCTATAATAACACTGAGCTAACAGTAGACAGTTTATAATCCGAGTTTAGTTTGTTTACTCCACTCCATCATCATCCTTGTTAAAATGATACACCTGTATTACCCATGATGCATCTCTGTGCGCTTTCCTAATCGATCTTACTCTATATAAACTCAACCCGTCTCGAGCAAGTTTTGTTTCAGGGTTTGTTTTGCATTGTCTAGCATGGACGAGGAGCCTCTTAAACTGTGTGATGCTTTTTCTTTTTTCATTCAAACTGGTATTTTTCAAACCCAAACAACACTGACAACAGAGACGACACTTGTGGTTATTTATGAAATTTAGTTTTGCAGCTTCCTCTGGAGAAACAGAGGCTTTGTTCTCACATGCTCATAATTTATTTCACATTATTTTTCATTCTCCAACAACAGCTGTAAACATATTATTTAGATTTAAATGTTTCGCTTTAAGTTCTCGTTAATGGGGTGATAGACAGCACAAACCAGAATCCAAAACCTGTGCTTTTTTATCTCCTTTACACTGATGTGGTGTTTGATTGCTTTCAAGGTACTGGGCGTCTCTGAGGAACCTGGTCGTCTCTCTGATGAACTCCATGAAGTCCATCATCTCCCTCATCTTCCTTCTCTTTCTCTTCATCGTTGTCTTTGCCCTCCTTGGCATGCAGCTCTTCGGTGGAAGGTAAGACTCCACATAGATTCATAGATTTGTTTAAAGTTGTCCTATAAAACTTCTTCTCGTGATCTGTCATTTATATACTTTTAAAGGATAGAAGCTCATATTAAACATGGCAGGAGTTTCTAAAATGAAGCTTATTTTACAGTAATCCCTCTGAGACCAGAGATAAGCCTTCAGCCTGCTATAAACAGTCTGTTTCGGACTGTTGTTTTTTACCAATCATGGAGCTTTCTGACGTCATAGCCATTTCAATCATCTGCTGTTGAAACCTTGTTTGTGAGGGGCGGCCAATGAGACGAAAGATGGCTTAAGGGAGAGGAA